TATAAAACCATAAACATGTGTTTAGTGTCAACATAGGGGCTGTATGTTTTATTTGAACGATGCAGCAATTTTCTCTCTTATCTCCTTAGTCTGTACCTCCCTCCTTGTTTATCATATGGACATTGTTTTAACCTTTTCCCCTTGACAGATTAAAACATAGGAATTGCATGTATGTTTATAAGTCGTTATTCATTACTGTTGCCATAAAAAATGAAAATGGAGGTAATTAGTAGGGTTTTGTGCAAGATGTTCCTGCCACAAATGCATACTTGGGCTGTTCATTGATTTGTCTGGCGCTTGTGAGAGCAGCAGTTAAACAGTAAAATCAAATGAAGTATGTAAATTCAGAGCCGTGTTTGCCTTTCGCCTCTATACTCGCCTCTATACCCATGTAACCTCTGATTTCATTTTCAGGTTTCTTCTCGGTTCACATAATGTCAGGCATCAAAGCAACTAAATGCAAGGCTCTGTTACGAGTTCTGATTCCATGGGTTTTATTGACCAACGTCATGGTGGCGCTGTACTGCTTAAGAAGCCCAAACCAAGTGAAACTCAGGTAAATATTTCAAAGGAAATCATTATTTTGTTCACAAAAGATAAGAGATATGATAAGATAAACTCGGTAAACTGACTTATTGGATATATTTACAGCGACTCCCAAAAAGACACGTGTCCCCTCGGTGTGGCAAAATTACAAAACAAAAGTTTGATCAAGCAGACTCACTCAGAAGAGTGCTCACCCAAAGTGAATGTCATGTTTATGAAGACGCATAAAACAGCTAGCAGCACCATCCTCAATATCCTCTTCAGGTTTGGAGAAAAGCACAAGCTCAGGTTTGCATTTCCTGATGGGCGCAATGACTTCTTCTACCCATCGCCGTTCCTGTGCTCCCAGGTGAAGGACTACAAACCTGGAGAATGTTTCAACATCGTTTGCAACCACATGCGCTTTGATCATCAAGAAGTGTCCAAGCTCCTGCCTCCAGACAGCGTGTACGTCACCATCTTGCGTGACCCGGTGGATCTTTTTGAATCTTCCTTCCATTACTACCACAAAGCAGTTCCCCTTACGTGGAGGATCAGAGGTGAAAACAAGCTGACAGAGTTTCTGAACAACCCTTGGGCCTTCTACAGTCCAGAGGCTTTCAACTCATTCTATCTAAAAAATCTGCTCTTTTTTGACTTTGGTTTGGATAACAACCTCGAGGCTGATGATCCTCGCGTCATGACAGAAATTAAGAACTTATCAAGACGTTTTCATCTGGTCCTCATTGCAGAATATTTCGAGGAGTCTCTTATTCTGCTGAAGGATTTGCTCTGTTGGACAATGGAGGACATCCTGTACTTTAAGCTTAATGCTCGCAAGAGCTCATCCGTGTCTCATTTGGATGCTGAGATGAGAGCCAAAGCTCTACAGTGGAACGGGGCAGACTGGAAACTCTATCAGTATTTTAATGGTACCTTCTGGGCCAGAGTCAAGGCATATGGGAGAGAAAGAATGAAGCAGGAGGTAGAGGAGCTCAGGCGAAGAAATGCTGAGATGAAGGACATCTGTATTGAAGGCGGAGGTGCGGTTGAAGCGCAGAAGATTCAGAACAGGCGTTTCCTGCCCTGGCAGCCGGTTGGAGAGAGTTCCATCCTGGGTTACAACATTAAGAAAGATGTTGATCCGAGATTCAGGACAGTCTGTGAAAAAATGCTCACACCTGAAATACAATACTTATCCGAGCTGGGTGTAAGCCTGTGGCTCACAAGACTGTGGGGTTGGTTAAAAGATGCTATCTACTGATGGCTGAGCCATAGCCTACTGGTTTTAACAAGCGAATTGAGTAAAAATACTAATGTAGTGAATGTTCGTGTGTTATGCTCATCTCCTAACAAATGTTTTCATCTTATTTATTTTTAAACATTTTCAGGTTTTAATAATAAATTCTTACTGGCAGTTCATTGTCACGTGAAAATATGCCTATTTGAACTGTAAACACAGTAATGTCACATTTTGTGCACGTGTTATGGAATATATTCAGAGAAAGGCCAAAACATTGGTTATGTGTATCTCAAATAATACTCAACAAATACTGTGCTAGTGTGTTAGTGGCAATGTGTTTATGTTTTCTTTTTAACATTAGGTTTAGGCTTAAACAGGCTGGCTACTTACAAAACCAGCATTCCTGTTATAATGTGTTTATATGTTTGTTTTCTAATACATTTGTTTCAAGCTATGTAACAGCTCACCCAACCCTGGTATTGGTGTTTTGTTAAGGACATGGTAATCGAGCCATTAGTGAGTCATGAGCGATACCTGGATTCTTGCAGGTGGAAGTATGAGGCAGTGATAGTGTGCCCTCCACTGGCCTGGGACTCAAATGCAGCTGTGTGGAATGTATTTGAATGGCTGAGGCCTTTCTCCAACCCTCTCAATAGTTTACACCAGTTGTCTTCATCAATAACATGGTTGGACACGCGCACCTATCTATTAATCTTCAGTTCAGGCAGATGAAGTCATTGGTGACTCAGCTGATTAATATGTTTAAATAAAGAGCTGTTGTATTTTTCCAAAATTTGCCTCTTTGGCATTTCAAGACTGAGAAGGTTTTAGTTAGTGACTTTTAATTTCTTCACTTGGTAGCTGCTGGCAGATGCACTGACACTTGGAGAGTACACAAACTCCAGTGATACATGGACCTCCTTGCACTGCATAATATTAAGAGCGTAATCACTTTTTATGTCCATGGAGAAGTTCTGCACAGGTTTGGCTCCCTGAGAATGATAGTGATATGGAGAGCATGATGTCAGAATCTGGAGCTTAGATGCACCTCCCCTGCATTGTGAAAATATGAATCGCTTTTTTGCTTAAGAATGATTTCTTATACATGTGCTTGCAGCAGAGCTAAGACAGTGTTTTTGCAACTGTTTTTGTATTTTGTTTTAGTTTAGTTTCCATTTGTTGTGATAGTGGGTGCTTGTTTAGTTATTGAGTTTGATAAGATTAAGTGTTACTTCTAATTATTACAACTGATAAGTTTAAGTTTTACAGTACAAATAACACTAACATCCCATCACTTACTGTCACTTGTTGACTTGGCAAGGTTGTTTGAACTGCCAAGGTTTGAAACAAAAATACATGTTTATGTTATTTAGTTAGCGCAAAATCTTGTGTGTGTATAAATTTTCCATAACTAAAATATTTTTTACACCTGCTTTTAGTTTGTAGTCAGGCAAACTGTAAAAAGCAACAGCAGAAAGCTTGTGACAGGTGTGTTTGAGTATCAGTCATTATCTACTGTGTAGCTGTGTGTCGGCCAATGAACGTAACTGATAAGCCTGAAAATCATTTACCTTTTGGTGATGTGACTTATTTTTGTTACATGAACTTGACCCGGTTTAACTGTAACGCAGTGAGTGTGGCGATAGTGGTCAATTGGTCCAAATATTTTTGTGGTTATGTGGCAGTTTGCCTCATTTAACTGAGTGCCTTTTCTGCTTGTGTATGTGTTTCCCTCTGCAATTTCCTTCCCTGCTTAACAGTATAATAAAGTAGAAGTGCTTCAAATTGCTGAAAGACAGAATCCTGCTCTTGTATAACTTCCACAAGAAAATTATGGAATTAATAGTTTTTCTTTTGGTGATCAGTCTTTTAATGCAGGTTTAACAGAGTGCATGAATAGGGGTTCATTCACATTCACCCATAAAAGCACAAGATCCAAGACCAGGAAGACACACACATTGACCTTTTGAGGGGCCTAGTGCTGGTCCTAAGCCTGGAACAGTGGGAGGGTTGGAACAAGAAGGGTTTCCAGTATAAAATCTATGCCACCCTCCATTAAGATATTAAGACTTGTACATTCATTGGAGGGGATATTACAAAATTGTTAAGCATTGACAAATGACTTCAGAACTCGTAGCTGAAAACCCCACAGCAACTCAACTTCTGCAAATATATACTAGACAACTGTCTTTTCCCCATTAAACAGACACCTTGTGTGTGCTTGTGTGGATTTTCTTCAAGACCTTCAGTTTTTCTTGTCATCAAATAATGTCAGATTAATGCTGCCTCTGTAACCCCACACAAGAGCGACTGCCTCAACAATACACTTTGCTGCTTAAATACAGATTGAAAAAAAAATGTTTTCTTCAAGAACTGATGCCAACAAAAGTAGAAATCACTTGCTTAAAAGTTTGCAAACATGCAATTGACATGAGTTCACTCCTAGATACTAGAAATAACTACATGGTGAAAGGACATAGAAACTTTTTAAAGATATTCAACGTGATAAACCAAGACGCTTAAGTATGTTAGACAAATACATGTTTAATTTAACAATTTACAATCAGTGAGGAAAACAAAGGCGTTACAATTAACATCAAGGAAGGAGACGAAGCGACAGGAACCACTGCTCCATCTTCACGGGGTCTGGACCGTCTGTCGGCTCTCGTAGGTCCCTTGGCAGCCGCCGATAGCCTGGGCATGACTTTGAGCACATTGTCCATGTTGAATTGATTCAGGTGTGGAGCCCATGAAGAATGGATAATGGAAATGTGACAACATATGCCATCGAGCCTTATAGAACCCCAGCCAGTGTCCCATTATTCTTCTTTGTTTTCATAGTTGTGCTTAATATGTTTCCACAGTTTCTGCAATAAAACACATGCAATGTAACGTTAGAGTTTTCAGGCAACTGATGGGCATTGCTAAACGAAGAAGTTGTCAAAAGACCAGAACGCTCGACTTAGCGGGCAAGTTAGCTTGGCTAACGCTAGCGCCGCTTCGCCCTCTGCGTACAAGGTCAGGTGCTTTAAAAGCCCAAAACACGCACTCACCCCGCGATTCATTTGCTCAAAGATCGCATCTCCACCTTGGTCAAATACTCGTTCAAAGAGGACAGCTCCAACCATGATGGTTACAGCGAACGTGGATGTCCTCCTGAAGAGAAGATTGTAGACAGACTTAGCCAACGCCATGTCGACGGTTCAGTACTCACTGCGCAGGAACGGATGCGCTAGTGCGAAACTTCCGCTTTAGCTTGGTGGCCGGATGCTAATAAACAGATACCCGGTACCTTTTGTTAGGACAACGCCTTTGCCACCTAGACTGTAGCCAGCATGCTATAATCTCATCGGCGATAAATATTTGAGGTATGGTTTGCTGTGCGGTTTGGGGCTTGAGAGTGTGATTAGTATGCACGTGTTTCGTCTCAGTGCTTCTTCAATTATGCTTCGTAGTTTCAGACTTAAAAAACAAACAAAAACAAAACAGATAACAACTAAATAAATGGTCGGAGGGCGTTTGTGTCAGTAGATGTGCTGTTGGTCCCAGTTTGTCGTGTAAGGACTTTTATTCCCAAGCATTTTTAACCCTGGCTTGCACACGTGAACTTATATGAACATTTTGCTGTAAACGTCTTCTTATTCCGGCTGCTCTCTTTAGTGGTGGGCCACCGCTCCTTCAAGACACCCATGAATCTTTTCTTTGGTTTCCTCTTTTCCTTATGCCTGCGAGCTACATATTCAACATCTTTTGTCCATAATATCCACTATCCCCCATTTGCAATTATCCAAAACATCTCAGCCTTGCCTCTCTAACTTTGTCTCCAAACTGAGCTGTCCCGCTGATGTACTCATTTCTAATTCTGTCTATTCTGGTCACTCCCAGTCAAGATTTTCAGCATCTCCAGCTCCACCTCCTGTTTTTCTTTCTTTTTACCATCTCCAAACCATAGATCTCACTGCAATCTTGTAAACCTTCTCTTTCACTCTTTCACCCTGAAACTCATCTCCGTTCACTCCAACCTGCCTACACTCTCTTCTTCACCTCTCTTGTGCACTGTCTGTTGCTTTGGATGATTGACCCTGGGTCATCTGCCTCCACTACCTCTACTATTTGCATCTTCACTGTTACGCCTGTCTCCCTTTTCACTCACACACCTCTCCAGGGTTTCTTACATATGTACTTGCTCATATTTTTGTTATAATCCAATAGATGTGGGCACAGTGGTCAGTTGTTCCTTACTGATGTAGGTTTTCTTAGTTAAAGTTCAAGGTTCAAGGTTCTTTATTTGTCACATGCATAGTTATACAAGTATAACACACAGTGAAATGTAGCCTGACATGCTCCTCGACATGTGCAAAAATTGAGGGGGGGTAGAGGAAGAACATTATATATATATATGGTATATACATTGGGTGAATGTGCAGTAGTAGCAGCAAGCAGGTGAATTCTGTACATTAATATGAATAGACATCTGACTATTTTACAGGATAGACAATATAAACATATTTAAAATTAAAGGAATTTGAAATGTACATTGTTCCTTGTCACCCTAACCATGGTATAGAAACTATTCACATATTCTTTTACTCTATATTTTCAGAACAGTTTTGATTTTGTTTACTATTTACTGTCTTTCAGGTGTTTAAAGGTGATATTGCAATACTCCGAACACAACTTTGACCATGGGGAAGAGGTACTACTGTGACTACTGCGACCGGTCCTTTCAGGACAACATGCATAACAGAAAAAAGCATCTGAATGGTGTTCAGCATCACCGAGCAAAAAAAGCTTGGTTTGACAATTTTAGAGGTGAGAGTAGCAGTTATTTCTGAGACCAGGGTTTTCATATCCATGAAAATCTGTAGTTGAAAAATTATGCATTGCTTTTTCATAATATGTGATTAACTGTGTATGATAACCAGCATTTTCTCTTCACAGACTCTGCAGCTATTCTGAATGATGAGCAAGAAAAGAAGCCCTGCAGGAAGTTTCTCCAAAAAGGTATCAGAATGACCTGTAATTCTCTACTGACAAATACAAGCAATAGCAAAGTTGCTTTATTTAGTGCTACTTATACTAACTCTAGATTACAACACCATGGCCAGCAGTAACGGTGTGAGGAATGTTGGAGCCACTTTGACCAGTGTTTATCTTTTCTCTAGCATATTCTAGGATGTCCTTCTTTCTTCTGAAATACTGAAATAAATTGTTACTTCTAGGCAGGACTATTTTAATTCCTTATTATTTGAAAGGATCCCTGAAAAGTCTTCCAAAAAGTTTCAGTGAGCGTACTAACAGTGCTGTCATCTTCCCCTCACCCTCGACCTGTTGCAGGAGATAGCTTCCCTTCCAATATCTTGGGTGTGACTGTGAAAAAATGGAAGCCAAGATCGTGTTTAAACCTGATAACAAGGCTGTCGGGGGTTTCTCCCAATTATTATAGGGTTTTTACTCTACAAAGTAAAGCACTTTGATCATATTTTTGTGAATTGATTTAGTATCAGTAAAAATGAATTTAAATGTGGAATTTCTTTCTCTCTGTTTTTTAGGAATTTGTGATTTTGGCTCCAACTGCAGATTTTCTCATATGACAGAAGAAGAGCTATTTAACTTACAAAGACAGGTGGAAGGTAAGCTGTGAACAGAAGATGGTGCTGTTTACCTTGTGATACGCTTTACAGGACCCCGAAGCAAAGCAAGCATCATACACAGATCATTTCAAATGGAAAGATATTTTTCTAATCAAAGTAAAAACATTTTTATATTTTCAGCTTTTAGCTTTGTATTACAATTGTTAAATATATAATACTGGAGAATACTGTGTTCTCTTTTCAACCTCACTCCCTATAGCAGTGGAAAGCATCTTCTTGTGTGCCCACTAATACCCCGTCTAAGACACATAAATCACTTCAAGAAAACGGTGTCTGTCCCCTGGCTCCATACCAGCAGTCTTGTTTTCTTCCACGTGAAGATCATTAGAGCTCCTTAGCGGTCCTCAAACGCTTCACTGTTTACAGATGCAGCCATCAGGGTAGCCACCAAACTTGGGTTTTTGTAGTTTCAGGATTAATTGTCATTTTGTTGCAATTATGTTTTCATTACAAAAATAAAAGCTTGTGTTTGTGCAGCTATTTGTTAGCTGTAAAGCTGAGCTTTGGTGGTTAGGGCTACGACTTGAACCCATTAGTGAAATGCTGGTGGTGACAAGGTTTGGGATGTGGCGTCCTGGTTTTGCCTAGCTGCTTGTAGCTACACCATGTCAGGGAAAGACCCATCATACGTATGCATGTTAAACATGCTTCTCCCGAGCACTGCAGCGCAATGCTAGGCAGAATCCTGGAGTGGCATTTGCGAGGGTCAGTGGCCTCAAAAGCCGGTCCCTAATAATCCGACACTGTGGTGAAGTCCAGTGACAAACCCAGCTTAGCTGGCACTTGCTGGGAGGCATGTTCAAGAAGCAAGAGACTGAATTTTCTACGTTCTTCAACCAGCTCCTCAATTCTGAAGAGGAACTTGAAGAAGATAAGGACGATGTTACATCGATCTCCACAGAGATGATAATGAGGAGGATGCTGTTCTCCCTCCTGCCCAGACATGGTGGAATTTGAGCTTCACTATCGGGAAACTCAGCTCTCTCCATCTCCCTCCTAGATTGATCTTTGTAAAAGTTGAAAGCTTGTGGCAGCAAGAGTGCATTAGATGTCCTGCAGCAAGAAGGTGGAGTAAAGGAATCTTTATGATGGAAAAATATTTGCGTGAGCTTCTTGTCAGCAGCTCATGCCTGCTGTTCCGGCATGTATGTAGTAGATGAGGCATTAGATGAAAGTAGATGGCACAGTCATTCATGTATCATCTCCACCAAAACAAGCATTCCACACTCTTTCCATACGTTCACTTTATGATGACAATTGGTATATTTGAGAAACTGTCCTATTGCTTGCTCTCTATTGTGATGGCACAGAAGTCCCAGATACTGAAGCTTCCTGAGTATGTGTGTGCTCATTTCACTTGAGGAATGGCTATCTCATCAGCTATATCATTTTAATGGTATTTATGTGTTGGGCATCTGTGCAGCTGTTAGTTGAGCAATGATACTGAGTGTGTGCTCTTAGCTGTATACTGACCTTTGGAGTGGGTGTGAGTTATCCACCTGCCTGGGGTATGGTGTTATAGACTTTAGAGTATGCAATCTGAGAATGATCTGTAACATCCATTATGAGATACAGAGTACCGTAAGGTTTGAAAGAGAGTGTCCATTCACCAGAGTAACCCCGGTTCTCTGAAAGCTGAGTGCGGTATCTCACTGCACTGCCGTATTTGCAAGGGCACATGGAAGAAGTACCTTGAGAATGTCTGGTGGGGCTATCATAAAGGGTGTTGGGGAGCCCATGTTGGTTTGTCTTAGTTGGATGTGGTGGTGGAGGAGCTTCTATGATTGGCCATGCCAGAAAGCACTCACCGTTGTGAGATGACTGACTGTTTTCAGAGAACCGGGGTTACTGAATTAAAACCACAAAGACCAGCAGTTAAACATTCTCTGGAAAAAAAATAGTTCAAAGAAACTGCTAGTAAAGAAAGACAAGTACTACTTGTTGAGCACATTTCCTACAGATGAGTGTGTAAACTGCCATATGCTGAGTTCAATGAGCTATTTTCTTTTCTCAGATGAAAGACAACACAGAGAGGACTCTGAGGACAGAATTATGCCTGGACGAAGTATAGAAGAATGGCTCTCGAGAAGGGAAAAGAAGAGAGCTGCCCTCGGTAGTAAAGGGTATGTACCTTCATTTTTGTTTTAACACTCGTTCTACATGGCTTGCATGACAAATTTCACTCCTGTTGATTATGAATTCACCTATTCTATTATTTATTTCTGCAGAGATCTAAAAACCGAGGAAGACAGTGAGGAAAGTCAAGCAGAAAATGGCATACTTCAGCAGCTCCTCTCCATTCCTGACCTCCCGCCCTCACTTCAACCCCCTCATCCAGGCGGGTGGAAAATCAACATGAACACTGAGTGGGGTTGAGTGACATTCACTTTGAGGGTTCAGATGACTGTTAAGCCAATACCTAACATTAATAAAAGGAGGAATGGTTCAGAAAACCAATATTATTTTAGTTTTTTAAGGATTTTCAACATGAAAGGAAGATTTCACTTGTTGTTTGTTGCTGTTTTTCGTTTGAATAATAAATTTACTTCTCTTAGATGAGTAAAGTATTTGCATATATTTCAAAACAAAATCTGAGATGAACAGCAACTGTACAACATCGGGGTAATTGATGCAGTTTTTGCATTGATAAGTCACAGAGTGCCCTTAAAGTGAGACTCCTCTGAGGAGTTACATTTGATATGATGTGGGCCCAAAGGGAATGAATGATTGCCGAGCAGATGGAAACCTTTATTTTTTTTTTTTTTGCATGGTTTTAATTCTGTGCTGCATCATGGGGGATTCCTTGATCTCCATCCATCCATCCATTCGCGTCCGCTTATCCTTTTCAGGGTCGCAGGGGGCGCTGGAGCCTATCCCAGCTGTCATAGGGCAAGAGGCGGGGTACACCCTGGACAGGTCGCCAGTCTGTCGCAGGGCCAACACACAGAGACAGACAACCATTCGCACTCACATTCACTCGCACATTCACACCTATGATCTTGATCTCATGACTTCATTTTTATTACTAACCCAGCCACTAGAAAACACAATTTAATTTTCAAAATGATATGTGAAGTGAAACACTGGATTGAATCTTATAATGAAACTTTTATTAGTCAGAAAGTTGGTTAATTTATTTCTTAGTAAGCATCGTGCAAATCCCTTGGATTTGTGACTAATATATTTCTAATTGTCTTTGTTTTTTTTGTTTTTTTTTAAAAAACCCTCAAGTATTTAATATTCTTTGCTCAGATTATGCTGAAATGTACAGTAGTCACTCATCCTTCACAACACCTGCCTAATATTGTGTAGGTCTCCCTTGTGCTTGAAGGCTACCACTGGATGCTATTAGGGAAACGGTGGCGGTGACAAGGTTAGGGATGTGGCATCTTGCTTTTGCCTGGCTGCTTGCAGGTTGACCATCCCCTATGCATCACATGTATGCTTGTTAAACATGCACATGTGTTGTTGGCAGACTGGACTCAGAGGTGTCCAGGTCCCTAACCTTGCACAGGTCCTCTATGCAGTGTGCTGTGGTGTCTGGCACAGGGATATTGCAGATCCTTTGACTCAGTTGAGGTGTTGTGTGGGAATTCCGTGGATCAGGCTTGTTTCACCTAAAGATGCTCTATCTCATTATTGTTGTTTTTAAGGAATCCTCTTTGGTTTGTGTCATTTGTGTTATTTCAATGAAATACAGTCAATTCAAAAAACATTTTCTTTGGATTTACTTAAGGCAAGTGGTTCCATCCAAGTGAGAAACTCTTAAGAAATACAAAACAGGGTGTTGAATTGCAATGGGACAAATGACCCAAGTAAACTTTAAACTGTTTCTTAGGAGTTAACACAGTTGTGTGGAAACATTTGACATAACTTTCTCAATGACATCAGATAAAAAACAAGTGTAGGAGACTGAGATATACAGAGTTGACAGTCCTGGGAAATTGCCATCTGTGAAGTTGTTTTTCTTAACCATTGAAAGAATTCTGTCATCATGCACTTTAGTTGTCTTTTGTGATCTTTTTATGCCTTTTGGTGCTGCTGAGCCGACCAGTCTATTTATTCTGTTTTAGAATGAATCAGATTGTAGATTTGGACACTTGTAGTTTTTGCTATATCCTTGATCAATTTATAGTGAAAACAAAATACACTGAAAACATATATTAAACACTTGGAAGAAACTTCAGATATTATGTCCATTTCATTTGTTATTAATTAACATGGGAACAGGCCTCACCTGGTCAGTCAACAGTCCAATTATTTTTAAGCATTTTAATATCAGGAACTACATGTAAATATGGCTGTAACTCCTTAACTGATGCAACAAAGCGGAAACTCTCCACTTCAATCACATCTTGATTCTTAGCTTACAATCCTCAAAACTACAAAAATCGTGTCCAACAAGTTAAGAACTTGTAACTGTATGTCAGTCGGTATCCTTTGCTCCCACTGGTGGTTATTTGTCTCACCTCAGATTTGGAAAAGAGTTTAACTCTCGCCCCACAGCTTCACCTCAGTAAAGGTTACCATGTCTGGATGTCATTGACATTCCAGTCCTTTTGCTATATTGCTGCTTGTCTTATCCAGTGTGGACACTCTTGTGTTGTTCTAAATCACATTATTGATAGTTGTTGGCGGGACCAAGCAACAAAACAATTTGCCAAGAAAAAAGCAATGAAAAAGGGGCTGATTATAAGGAAACATGGCAACTGTTCTCCCTCGAATGTGAAGCGGCTGAAAACAAGATAAATTCAGAATTTTTTAGATCTGCTCTTAATTTTCTTGTTGCCCTCCAAATTATAAGTTTACTGTGTGAATAAATTCCACAATAACTCTTTCTACGTTTATGAACTATTTCTACTTTTCTTACATCTTTTAAATTGAAATTTAAAAAAACAAACAGCTTTCTTAATGCACTTGTTTTTATTGGACTACATGCATCTATAGACATCACTTACATAAGTGTATAATTGATGCAGTAACCTCTACATGTGCAGTAACAGTTACTGAAAAAACAAAATAAAAACAAAGCAGGATATTGTGTTAAGAACAGAGAAGTGATAAAGATAAAACAGAAATACTTAATATTTTATTATGACACCTATTAAAAATAAATCTTGTATCATTTTTTCCCTCAAGCCATGTATTCATGTGATTGATTTCCCATCTTTTTACGTCTTTACTTCAGTTTCATGAAAGTGCAGCTTTTAAAACTCCAAGTTACAAAAGGCACAGAACAGAAAACCTTGACAGTCAAAATTAAATTTACATTTAAATTGAACATTTTTAACAACCTGTTGACAAAATTGACATAAATCTTTTCATGAAAACACAGTAACCTACAGAATAGGACACAATTTGTCACACGGGTTAAGATTTGGCACAGTAACTATATTTTACATTCACATAAAATCCCATACTTTACATGATATGTTCATGGAGAGGTAATGTGATGTCATACAAATCGTTTTTTAAATTCTTTTACATAAACAGCTACTATATACGGAAAAAATATCAGCTTTATTGCCAGTATGACTCTCAGTAGTATATACTTTCACTCTGATATAGCTTTCATAAACCTTTAAGGTAAAAAGAGGAAGAAAAAAATATAGAGAATATTGTTTGTTACTTTGTTAAAGAAAACATTCAGAAAAATGACAAATAATCAAAAAAGTTGTGTGCATGGCGTAAATACATGCAAACGATTTTATCTGAATGTCCAGTCAGACTGGAAAATTATATCTGAAACCTATTTTTGTTTTTTTGTTTTTTTACAAAACATTATGCTTACATTCATAATAAATCCACATAGATTTAATGTATTACTTTCCAAGTAAGAAAATATAACCATGTTATACTTTAAACAATATGTTGTTTTGGTGGTCCATGTAAAAGCCAGAAAACAACATTTTTATGATATGTCAAATTACTGTTCACAGCATACTGCAAAGTATTTAGTATTCTACAGTTTTTCTGAACTGATAACACACAAGCTTTGTTTCTTTGTATCAAATGCACAGTTTTCTAAATCTAGTATTAAATGAATCGCTCTCCTGGCAAAACATTTTCTTTTACAAAGTTAGATGCAATTTGCAGATCTAGTTTACTCCTAAATACACTCTCACTCACATTTTCACACTGATATACTTGTGAAGCTTAACGGAAACCGCAGGAGGCATAAGTTAAGCACATTTCCTAAGAACAACTTAAAATTGTTCAGGCTTGCTGTTAATTATGTTATTTACTCAGTTTAAGCGGTGTCAGATTGTACAGCCGGTAATTATGAGTAGAAAGTGGAGCAGGACAAAGAATTCAAACCACACTTGTCATGCTCTCTGTGGCTGAATACTGAATAGTCAGTGCATTTACAGGAAATTGTCACTTTATTAGTCACACAGTGCAGGTAAAGGGTTCGACCCTCTTTTGCATTCTGAACTGCTTTAATTTTTCATGGCACAGATTCAACAAGGTGCTGGAAACACTCAGAGATTTTGGTCCATATTAACATGAAAGCATCTCACAGTTTCTGCAAGTTTGTTGGTTACACAGCTATGATTGGTTGGGTTGAGATCTGGTGACTGTGGAGCCCATTTGAGTAGCCCATCTGGCACCAGCAAAAATGCCATGTTTAAAGTCACTTAACTATATTTCCTTGCTCACTGCAGCAGATTGTCTTGTCCATATCTACATGCCTAAATGTACTGAACTGCTGCCATGTGATTTGCTGATAAGACAGCTGTGTGAAACAGTTTAACAGATGTGTATAATAAGGTGACCGGAGGAATGTATACATTTGTGCAATTTGTAGAACAAACAGATTGACCTTTTCTGAAAATATGTGCTCTGAACATTGAGTTGGATTGTTTTAGTGTGACATATTCATCAGAGTCATGATAGTCATATTGCCAGAGGAGACTTGTCTAAATTCAGGTTTTTATTTTATAAACTGGGTTTTGTGTTTTTAGATGACAGAAATCGCCAAGAAACGTGTCTTAACAGTTGCGAAAAACTGTAATACTGTGCACATCCACAAAAAAAGTCGACATTTACAGAAAAATGTCAAATACTGAGATTTTTTTTTTGCAATGATCACTTTACAAATTGCATAATTATTTGAACACTTACACCAGATTTCAATAATCTCACACACATATAACACACATTTACTTCTAATCTAATGTACATGCAATTTTGCATCTTGAATTACTTCATACTTATTTGCTATAAATACAATTATTATTTAGTTTTATCTAAATTCTAAACTTCTTTTGATTTATTTATAGCTGGTAGCTCGTGTCATACAGCTACTCAAATGTTTTTTAGTGCCTCGTTATGATTTTGATGCGTCTTACAGATGCGCACATTTGAAACATGCAGCATGTGCATGTATTGCAGGCAGGCTATGGATATAAAACATGTTATTCGTTTGGCTGGACATCAAGATACCAGTATTTCTCTTTGTATCTGGAGCTTTTATATAAAGCCCACACACACACTCTTGTCTGGTTTATTAATTCTTGTGATTTTTTTGTGAAGTTTAATTCTTCAGCTACAGTTGTTTCACATTACAGCTAACAAAATATCAATTTGCTTTACAAAGCAATCTCAATCTGCTCAGCCAAGAAAGATTCTTCTGAGCTTTAAAGCAAAAATAATTAACTGTGAAAAAAGTGTGACATTTCTATTGAAACAGGCCTGTCGGAGTTTCTTCCACTGATAATTTGACTAGAGTACATAACATGCGTTGTGGATCACAACTGTAGATCCTCTCTTTTGAGCTGTGAATCCAGTTGTTGTGCTTGTTGACCGGTTTATGCCTCTCGCTGCAAATATTTTGATGCTTTCACATTTTCTCTTTGTCCATTTGTTTAAATATAATGCGCTTTCATTTTGATTCAAATTGAGGTCTTTGTTAGAAGCTGAAGCTACAAGTTAGCGAATGCATGATTTAGGTTTGTGGCAACTGGTGGGACAAGAAACAAACCTAACAGTTTGAATGACTTCATGAAACTCTCTGTGTTGGTCTTAAAATAAATTTAACCTGACAATATTTTAGCTCAGGCATTGTAGCAGTTTGTTGAAACCGTACAGCAGCACTCCGATGCTAGCCTTAGCTCAGCAGCATGATCCTAATGAGAGTGACTGCATGCTAATGCTAATGCAGCTCACCCATTTGTGGTTCATCTATCACAAAAACTGAGCAAAAATATCAACAAAATAGCAGAGAAAAAACAAAACAGGGCACCGCCAAATTCATTAGATCTCACAGCATGGGTGCCATGAATGACATGCAACATTCATGGAAATATTTCAAGCTGGATAAAGGGATGAACCAATTAAATCGAACTGACTGACAGACTGATACATCCATTAGTAGTCCAGTTTTGTGTTTTGAATTTGAGGAGCTCTTTTTTTGGTATTTTTAGATTGCAGAAGGTGCTGGTTAAGTCTGTCAGACCTGATGCAAGTTGAAAGTCATGACACAATACAGTAAACAGAGACATAAGAGACACAGCATGCAGCGCACAGTGATTTGTCCTTATGTTTTTAGCTCGATTTGAAATTACGGAGTATGTGGCCCGCTTTTGTATTGCTTTATTACTATCATTGGTGCTGTCGTTATTTGGTGCACTCCAAATGGCAGGGTTCTTGAGAGCAACATTAAATGCACTGACAAAGCACAGCTATTGTTACAACACTTGCTGCACTCTGAAATTTTGGAGAATTGGAGCCTGATTTTCTGTCTAATCTTAGCAAACATCAGCCATCTTAATGAATGAGATGTAACTTGTTTTGGATAACAATCAGCCCTTGAAATACCTTTCTTTCTATTGTCTGTACTACGATTAGTGATCACACAGAACCACTGCATGACATCATTTTATCCATATCAGAGCGATCCTATGATTGCATCATCGAGGGTGTCAGCTGTGAATAAAACCCAAAATGATAAAGTATTTTGGTTAACATTTGCATTTTCCCTGTCTGTCTGTAAATCCGTTTGTAACCAGCAGGCATCGCGTATTTACTTCATCCCTCTGCGGAGCATTTGATTCGCTGCGATGAGCATGACGCTGATGATAAATGCGATAGCGAAGGCACAAATCAGGCTTTTACGCACACAAGTGTGTTTTTCCTGTTGTGTTGGGCTTGCTGGGGAAAGAAAGGGAAGAAGAGACAGAACAAAACTGTGTCAGTGGAGCTTTAGAAATGTATGAAATACTATAAAAATTATATTATAAGACATACTATCAATGTTCACATGGGACTCTGGACTGTTCAGGTGGTTCTCCTCAGTCATGATGATGTTCTCAATGTCTTTCATAGTGAGGTGGTCACGGAAAGTATCATAAAGCAATCTCTTCAGCTCATCCACAGTCAGTTTCTGCATGTCGCACTGGGAAAACAGAAAACACCAGGAGAGGTCTAATTAGCAGAGGAAGAACTTCTGCCTTGATGCCCCTCAGTGATGCACATAAATTGCAGGTCAGCAATAAACAGCAGTGTATAAATATTTTATAAAAATCAGATATTAGAGTAATTCATTTGATTATACTCCTGATTGTAAGGAATGGGGATACCGGTGTCCACAACATGTGATGCAGTTATCTGACTGGGGTGTAGTTTGTGAGGGATTGATATTCAAATGACTAGATTAAACTTTATTGGTGGGGATTATGGGACAGTACATACCTTCCAAAACACCGAGTCAAAGTCTGCTCCGTTGAACTTGTCAGGCATTCCAGCAGCAGAGAGTTTAGGACCAAGTAATGTGACAAACTCTTCAAAGCCAACCTGGCCATCGCCTGATGAAACAAGCGAAACATTGACGAGTCATTAACGCAGCTCACACGTTGGAATAATTGCAGCAGAGAGAGCAAGAGAGACCCACCATCCATGTCAAGTCTTTGGATGATAACCTCCAGCTCCACCTCATTGGGCATGTAGCCCAGTGAGCGCATGGCCATCCCCAGCTCCTGCTTAGAGATAAAGCCATTCCCATCTCTGTCAAATACTTTGAAAGCCTCACGGATCTCTGCGAAGTGAAAGAAGGCACACAGAACGAACATGTTACTTGAGGGCTATCGTTGAACTGGCGGATTTTTAACATGTTGGTTTCAGCGTCGGCGAGTAAAGGGTGTTTATTTTTAGAGTTTAAAGTGAAAGCAGCTTCAAACAGCTGCTGTGGGTCACAGCTCAAAAGGCTATAATCCCTCTGTCTTAGATGTTTGTGTTTTGAGAAAGAGGAGGCATAGCTGAATATTGAGTGTTTGAAGAGTGAAAGCAACTTTTTTTCTCCAAGTTTCTTTATTCCATGAGCCAGAATATTTCACAGTAGTAAAAATATTCATTTCTTTTTTGAATAAATCCTACAGAAACTATGCTCCTCCTCCAAATACTGACTCTAAAATAAACTCAGTTCGGTAAATGTTTGGGTAAAATGTGTGACAAGGAGTGGGAAGCAGATAGTACTGAAAGAACTATTGGTCTTCAATGTTTTGGAAATGTCTAATACAGAAAGCTACAACCTTTTGAAACAGTACAACTAATTATCAATTGATTTTAAATGATAACGTTAAGCATGCTATCTAAAAAGAGAAACGCAAGTTGCTTGTGAATGTTCTGACCACCAGGCACAGGGAAAAGACACCCAGAACCTTCTAGCTGTGAGGCGACAGTGCTGCCCCACTGCACCACGAGTTAAACAAGTCAGAATACACCAAATTACTTTTATCTATTTAAACCAAACAGCAGAAACTTTAAATCTAAGAGTAAATTGCCTAATTTCTTGTTGGCCAGCTGTCTCCTAATGTTGCACCTTAAAAAGAAGAAGAGGTACAAATGTGATCGTTACAGTGCACTGAAGCATACAAACTTTTGCCCTTAAAGACGTACATATACACTGGAGCTGCAGAGACAGAAATAGACCTTTAGTGTACACTTTTTATGAGAGTGTAGTTTGATTGTTTCAGTAGAATTGACTGAGACAGAAACACTGCATTTTAAAATTTCAGCCCACAGAACATGAGCAATATTAAAAGTTTCAGCATCCCAGTGAGGGACAAAAAGAGGAGATGAGTGTTTTAGCATCATGTACTGCAGTCTTTCTTTCTTCATTTAAAATGCCTAAATTTAAAATGACCACCAACAAAACCCTTCTTCAAACCTGCAAAACAGTTTACATGTTGCAAAAGCATAAAATTGCTGCAAAACTCATTACGCTCTTGTAAAATACAACTGCCTCCATAATTACCTACAAACTATCATTTTAATAAGCGCATGAAGCACTAACCACCCAATGAGTTAGTGTGTGTAAATGCATGGTTGTGGCTCATCTGTGTGCAGGGCATAGCAATTGTTTTTTTTTTTTTAAACGAGTAAACAACTGTGTACACAGAAAAATCCATCTGAATAAAACACACTATTAATACAAATAAGGAGAAAGTTGTTTATCCTTCACATCATATTGCAATATTGTAGCTAGGTAGTGTTGAAAGTGTTGCCTGAAGTGAGGTATCTGAGTGAAGCTTTGCAGAAATTATTCTATAAATGTAAAGCATTTAGTTTGAGCCAGTGCTTTGGCTCCAAGTGCTAATGGTTTTGTAGATAGTGCTTCAAAAGCTACCGTTAATGCTTGAGCATTCAGACAGACTGTAATACTACACAACCATTAACAGAGAGGTGTTTGAACATGTAAGTGCACAATGTAAAGTTCAATCCTCTGGTAAATAATAATGAATGGCAAATAATGAAAAAGGCAATGCTCTAGTCTTCCTGGCTAAACTATTATCTGCTTTGTTTATCTGTATCTTGTGTTATCTGTGACAGATATTTAAAGGATTTCCCACTGTGATGCAGTGTTATTCTTCATTCATAGTAAGTGATCTTCTGAGCCAGTACCTGCTACTGTGGTCATAACACAATCACTTCTGACTGAAGGCTGCAAGCAGGTTCATGTGTTTCTAATTAAAACTGCAACTTTTGGTAAATAATCCATAAACATTGGCATTTGGCTCCTGTCCTCACTCGGCATCACTGTATTCTGTTTGAAGTGGTGAAAAAGAGCAGTTGCACTTCAAAGGCGCTGAATGCCGGTAGTTCTTTGATGTAGATCCTCAAATATACAAGACTATTGGATGCTAGCTCAGCTCGTTGCTTGATTGGATGAAACAAGAAACAAAATGAACTGGAAGTCTAATTTTTACATCAATATATCAATGATATAAGCCGATACCTGGGCAGTGATAGCCCGAGACACTGCAGAGAATAAAAAGGTGGAATTAACAGAACAAACACGTAGACATCCACCTAATCCACAAGAAACCTATGAATACTTAGACATTCATCATTCAACACCAGAATAAGCTAAACATACACTCTTTTATCTTGAAAATTGCTTTAAACCAAAAGGCTTGGATGAACTGTTCATATGTAAAGCATGTGATTACGCTGGGTGCTTATATGATGTAGAAAACCAATTTGCACGCATTTATGTGACTTGGCAACCACAATTAGCATGCAAGCCCAGATGAGGACGAGCACTAGCTATCCATCTTGTGCACATGAATGAGTGCAGTTTTTAAGTGATAGCTTGCAAATTGTGGTTATAGCGGCAGTGTATAATCCTCTTTAAAAAATAAAATAAAGCACTACAAGACAAAGTCTTTGGAACGTAAATTGAGGTCCTTCTGGACAAGTGGCACTGTCTGTGCAATACCTTGACACATCAGACACAACATATTTGTCTAAATTACTCCCAGCAGCACTGCTTGAGTTTTGTTATCTTCCCTGAGCACAATCCCAGATTCAGTGTTGTGACCTCTGATGCCAGTGACAAATAATGAATTCTCTTAGCCAGCTGAGCAGTGGCTGGACTACAGATTGTTTCACACACTGAGGAATGAATATTTATCTGAAAAAAATAAATAAAATACACACATGGAATCATGAGGGACACAATATGTGTTTACTTTGTTGAAAAATTTGATTATAATTTGCATTTTTTAACATGTAAATGTTGTTTGTCAAGATTTGATCCTCCACAGACTGAAGCGCTTCACTATTTTTTTTCTCCCTCATGTATTGATATCGCCAACATAATTGATTGGCTTATTTATGTAGCTGAATATGTAGATTTACTTCTGATAAAGGCTGTCCTTTTTAAAGTTAAAAGAGACGGACGTTTATCCAATCAATACTGACATCTTAACTCCCGGTGTGCCCACATGGGTCAAGCTCATTTTGCAGAAGGAAGTACTACAACCTTATTGATGTGGTAAGACTCAACAAAAGTCAGTGTTACATGATCACTGACAGTACTGTATCCAGCTCCTGTGTGCCACACTGGGCATGATAAAGTACTTTAAGCACCCCATTGTGAGACGTTCGTACTAACATTGCATGTTACATATCCCTGGAAAAATGTTCACTTGCAAATAAACAAATACGCACAGGTAAACACACAATACAACAATAGCAAAGTGATGGAACTGAATTTTTATTTAAAGTGTGGAAAACATTCAGCCGACTCAGGTGTTTACTTTGAGTCCTTGATCAGAATATCTGTAACCTTGCACTGCTGTGAGGGTGCACCCACTCGGCTGTCTGAAGCCAGGTGGTGAAAATCTTTGAATCACTGATTTGATGATTTATATTCTGTCTGTATGACAGAATATTTTTAGTTAATTCTGCAATATGAGAGTGGAGGAAAACAATTTGAAAGCAATATTATCAAGCAAATTATTAATATTGGTGTGAAATAGGTGACTGCTCAAAGCAGCAACAGTAGCGTGGCTCCTAAAATGCTGTGAAATGTGTCAGTGGTTCAATCCAGACTAGAAGTTGAAGTGTCCCTGGGCAAATATGGAGGCCAGATGCATCCAGTGGTGTTTGTGTTTGATCGATAAACTTCTGTATATATAGAATAAATTGCCATGTGAATGAATGAATGTGGCACAAGACATTATGTAAATGCTTGCCTGTTTATTGTTACATTTATTCAGACACGAAGACCGTTATGAGCCGAATCAAATGTAAACAAAGTGTCAAGGTGTTTAGTTTTTTAAGAATGACCTCATACATTATAAAAGATGGCCACTTTGGTGTCATCCACTGTTCGCCATCTTAGAGTTTCGAAAACAGATCTGCTGAGACTTATCGATCTTTCTTTTTACAAAATGGTTTTTATATTCAATATTCATCAGGCAAGTCATGCTGGTGAAAATAGCATTTGGAGACCATGGCCACCACCTTTAAATGTTTGCTCTGAAGGTTGAGACCCATTAATAGTCCCCAAACCACATCAGTCACTTGCTGTCAGTCTCCTATTGAATGGGTCAAGTTGGCATTTACATGTGATCTGAATATAACAATACGCTGATTACCTGTGTTGGAAACTGCAAATCTGTTGCCATGTACATACCATGAAAATCACAATAAAAACAAACTTAAACTAACTTAACTATGATACAGATGAGTTGAGCTAATCAGTGCAGATGGACTCATATTGATTGCAATCTGTCAGCAATCCATCTGCATTTATAAATTAGATGGTAATTACTGTCAAACCTTCACCAATCTGTTTGAGGAAGAATCCATTCCCAGTTGGGATTATTTGGAAGCAAGCTATCTCCCACCCAGAGGCTCGGGGTGCTGCACACTCAACCTCTGAGCAACAACTTGGTTGCCACAACTACTTTCAAAATCCGTCTCCGAAAGCTAAAAAGTTTAATTCATCCACCAAATTTTCTAGCTGCAAGGAGGTTGCTGTCTTGTTTTTACTCTGGTGTAACAGAGCCATAAAGCCCTCAGCTAAGTGTTTTTATTTAAAAGTCGGGAATGGAAGTCGTTTTGCCCCCTGGTGGCCATTAGAAAGAAAGCAGCTTTAAAGTATTTCTGTGCTGGCCTACTTATCAATCCATCTAAATCAATTTTTAAAAAAATTATGTATTAAATGAGCACTAGAGATTTAGAAAGGAGTGAACAATACAAATAAGAATTGTATTATCTTGGAAAGATAACACAAATCACAAATAAAGTAAAACTGTTTTCCGATTTGGGAGGTCCTGCTGGGATTTTACTTTTGGATGTAAAAATAACAAAAACTCTAAAACAAAAACAACTTTTAAAAATAACTCCAGAATCTTAGCTTTTAGCATTTATACAATCAATCACAAAATGCCTGTTGTTTGTGCATGAATGATTAGGTTTTAATGAGATGAGTGAAAAAGCAGTTATGCTGTTATAGTTTAAAAGAAAGCCAACAGAAGGGCTCACGGAAATAAGTGCTGATGCGTAGATAATATGTAATGAAATAGAAAGGGACAGTTTTTTCATGAAGAATATATGTGTGTATCACACTTGTATCCAAATCCAAAACACAAATTGCTTCTGACTGCTTCTGTTTAACGCTACAGGAAATGAGAGCAGCCATGCCTTCAGTTATTTTTTTTCTGATATCTTATGATGATAAGCTAATTTATCTAGTTATCTTAAGATATCGATGCACGGTTTATCTAATTGTGGAATAATAAATCTCATTTTCATCATTTTATACCAAATCTGAGCTGCTGTGATGCCCTGGGGAATATGACACATAATATGACAAGAGATCCTCTGAAAAGATCCTAAAGATTCTTTATACATTTTGTTTTTGTCTGTTTTTCTCCATGGGACGAAGGAGGCTTTAAAAATACTAACAATAACAATTTTCTCCTTTTCTGTATCGTTAGCTTCATGGATAAAGCATAACTTTAGGCTGTTGTTGATGAATGATTCATGGGTGAAAGTTATTTATCATGATTTCACTTTAATAAAGCGAGCGTGGTTTTGCTTCTTGGCATAAAGGTTAGCTTATCTTCACAGATAAGGGTAGATTTGTAAAACATTCTCTTTCTCGCACATGCAGATGACAAGAAATGAACATCCTTGCTGCTGTCCATGGATCTGTGCTGCTGAGAGACACACAGCAGGCAGCAGCTTCTACTTTGATGTGCTTTCATATTTGTCATTGATGGGAACAATGATAAATAGAAATTAAATCAAGTGTTTTTTAAGTGGCCCATTCTTCCTGATCATGGTGTAGTTCATGCTGACCAGCACAGATGGCATCCAGCAAACTGGAGCAACTGGTTTAACTTAAAAATGAAGGAGTGTCATTTATTCAGTTCCAGACTATACTTCAGTCAAGGTTTTGACACGAGCAGAAGCCGTGTTGTGTTAAAACTTTCAGATCGACCCTCCTTATTTATTCTCTGCTGTACAGTAACTTTATGTGCACGTACACTTCTGTGATGCTGCTGCAAAACCTAATTTCACTGGTAATTAGATGGTGAAATTACACGTCTTCATAGCTACCGAGATCCCAGAG